ACCGGCCCCTCCCGCTGACCCCTCCCCAGTGGAGGAAGTTGTGATATTTGGGAGGAGGAACTGCGTGACCTTAGACCAACCTTGTTATCTTATAATCAGAGAAACCTCCCCTTGCTCCTAGTTTGTAGCCTCTGTGCTCCAGCCAGTCCCTGGCCTGACAGACACGTTGATGCCATTGGGTAACATCGCCCCGGACTGTTTTTCTTACTCTCTCAGTGAGCTTTTTCTGGGACAAGATGTATCTGACCCCTCCCCAGTGGAGGAAGTTGTGATATTTGGGAGGAGGAACTGCGTGACCTTAGACCAACCTTGTTATCTTATAATCAGAGAAACCTCCCCTTCTCCCAGTTTGTAGCCTCTGTGCTCCAGCCCGTCCCTGGCCTGACAGACACTGTTGTTGCCATTGGGTAACATCGCCCGGGACTGTTTTTCTTACCCTCTCAGTGAGCTTTTTCTGGGACAAGATGTATCAGTTCGGTTGGGCCTCCTGCCTGGCTTGGGGCTCAGTGCTGCTAAATAATGGTGTGCCTTGTTTCAGAAAATGGTTCAGCTCTGAAAACAAAACGTGTACTCAGGCTTTGCAGCTTAAATTCGTGTTCAAAATTCCATGTGTAAAATAGCCCTTCTCACTCTTCAAGTCACGAACCCCTTGAGAGAGATGAAAGCTGTAGGTTTTCCCAGGAAAAGGCAGGTACAGGGTCATCTCTGGGGCCCCAGGGACTGACATCCCTGCAGACCCAGCTTACGAGCCCCAGGTTGAAAGGAACCCCGAAGTCAGCCATTTTGTAATGTGTAATCATGTCTTAGAATGTTTATGTGTTAGGATTAAAAAACAAACCAACAGTACGGCGTGCAGGAGGCAGCCGATCCATGATTCTCTCTCATCATTGATGTCTCTGTCTCTCTCCCTCTCCCTTTCTCTCTGAAATCAATAAAAATAAAAAAAACCAACAAAAATGGAACACCTGTCATAAGGACTCTGAAGGAGATAGGAGTGACCTCAGACAACCTAACTGCTCGTCACAGCCCGGCGGCTGCTGTGCTGCGCTGGCCACTCGGGCTGGTCGTGGGGCTGGGGATTCAGTAGAACCCCGACTAGCTCATCTCTCCCTTGGCCGTGGGAATAGCTTCCTTGCAGCAATGCTGAAACTGTTCCAGAGACGGCATGCCCGGTCCCTGCCTACCAGGAGGGGCCAGTCCCTGGTAACAGATCGTGGCTGCAGACTGTCTGATCAGACCCTCTCTTTTCTCATCGCAGCATCCTCATGTCCTATGAGCATGTGGAACTGACGTTCAATGACATGAAGAATATGCCAGAGGCCTTCAAAGGGACAAAGAAAGGCACCGTTTACCTGACCCCTTACCGGGTGAGTCACCCCTGACAGTGCTGGCTGGAAGGCGTGGCTCCTGCAGCTGATGTGGGTTGTAGGGCAGCCTCAGTCTTGTGAGCCCAGCGGCCTCTGAACCACGTGACAGTTCCTCACTCCGGGAGTTTCTCTGCCACGTGCTTCTGGGTCCTAGAACCACCAGGCTGTTTGTGCAGCCGAACTGACCACTGGGCAGTGAATCCTGCAAGTCCCAGCGCTGTTGCTGCATAAGCTCTGTGTTCTGGAGGCAGCTGCTGGGATGGCCTGGGCCTGGGGAGGAGAGGCTGCTGTTATTTTGATTTCTGTAGGCGTAGCCTCCAGGCCTTCGCACATCAGAGTGATAAATTTGGTGACCAGGATGCAGTAGCATGACCACAGCCTCCGGACCGGGCAGAGAGCCCGGTGCAGCCCTGCAGAGCGAGGAATG